CTACTTCCTGCCCCCTCCCCCTAGCAACGACCAGATGTAGAAGTCAGGAGACCTGAGTGAAGGGCCTAGCCCCGCCAGGGGCAAATCTGTCACCTCAATAAGCCTCAGCTCATCGGCTACTAAATAGCAGTGATTATATTAGCTTCACTTAATTCTTTTTTTTTTTTTCCTTTTTTGTCTTTTTGTTTCCGTGACCGGTAACGGGATCGCAACCGTCGGTGTCACGGCCGCACCGCGCTGGGTGACACTGAACCAGTGAGCGGACTGGTCTCTATATGGGATCTGAACCCTTGGTGGGAGCGCCACCACGCTCCCAAGTGCCGCACTCTACCGAGTGCGCCACCGGGCCGGCCCTGCTTCACTTAATTCTTAAAACTATTTTGAGGATCAAATGAGATAATGGGCATGAGTCGCTAGGGATGTCAATCTGGGAATATGTGTGTGGGGCTGTGTTGGGAGGTGAGCGTCTTTCTCCACCACCCTAAAAGGCATGTGACATTCCTCCTAGTACTTCCCCTCCCAGGCTCCCAAACAAGCTTGCCTTTAAAATTTAACACATTTAGAATTCATTAAGCAATTAAAACCATTTTGCTCTAACTGAATTTTCCTTTGGGGGCGGTTTAAGGTTCTTCTAAGCCTGGGAAGCTTATGAGTAATTGGAAGCTGAAGCTCCACCCACTCACTTGTGTTGAGATGTCCATCATCAGTTTCCTCCCAGTACATGATTTAAATTCCCTGGATGGTGTTACATCTGGAGACCAGAACCAAGCCCCCCAACCCCCCACCACCACTAGCATAGCAATAACAAATAACAGTAAGTAAGCAATAAATAAGACCGTGACTCTCCTGCCCTAAGCCACTAGTCAGGAGGAACGCCTGCCTGCCATTCAGATGGAGATCTTCCTGACTAGTAACTGGTTAGTCACTGGGTGACCAAAGCCAGCCTTGCACTGACCTGGAGGGACATGGCCATCCTCTAACAGTTTCCATCTGACAAACCACTGTCAGTATACGGGCAGCCACTGTTCCATTTTAAAGAGGCTCCTGGGCCTGATCCTGTAGCTTGAAGACTGGCCATGTGGTTCCTGGCCCCCTCCTGGGCTCCTTGTTTGCACTGTAGCCAGCTGGAAGACTCTTCAGCCAACCTATGCCCTCTAAGATGGAAGAGGGAATGGTAACTGATGCCTGGTAGGGAAGCATGCCTTCAGACCTACACTCTGAAAAGGCAACCCCCCAGGGCCCACTCTCCTAAGCCAATGCTGGGCCATGGTCAGCCTCAGCACTGTTCCTGGTGGAAACCTGACACTGAACCATCATCATGCCAGTCTTCCCAGATCACATTCCAAGGACTCTCCTGCATGTCCTTGGTGGCCAGATATGCCTGGGACTTTGAGGGGAGCCTCCTTTACCCAGTATGTCTTGATTCCCCATTCTAAAATCTGTCCTGCTACCTGGCAGAGTTCTCAGCCCATCTTTTGACCATAGCAGTGACCTCCATTTGCTAAACTCAATGGTTGTTTCTCAGTCCCTATCTTACTTGACCTTCAGCAACATCTGGCTCAGGTGATCCCTCCCTCTTCCTTCTTACAGTTTCCTCCTTGGCTCCAGGGACACCACACCCTCAAGGTTCTCCTCCTACCTCTCTGGCTGCTCCTTCTCAGTCTCCTTTGCCCATTCCTGCAGTGCCCACAGCTCAGCCCTTGGCCTTTTTTTCTCAGCCTCATTCCCCAGGGATATCCTCCAGTCTTATGTCGATATGCTGACAACTCTAAAGTCTCGCTCTCTAATCCAAACCTCTTCTCTGACATCCAGATTCAATCACCCCATTGCCTACCACCATCCCCAATGGATGTCCAAAAAGCACCTCAAATGCACAGTGTCCCAAACAGAGCTCCTGTTTATTTGATACCAAACCTGTCCCTCCCACAGTCTTCCCCATTCCAGCGAATGCCACTTCCTTCTTTCCTGCTTTGCAGGAGACGTTCCTGACTCTTTTTCCTCTTGCACCCAAATTCCGTCCATCTGCAAATCCTGCCACTCTCCCTTCAAAACAGATCCAGAATCTGACTTTTCCCACTCTTATTTCTACTCCCATCACCCAAGCCACACTGCCCCCACTACTTGTCCCCAATTTTCTACCCTTGCCCCTTTCTGTTTGTTTTTATCACAGCAGCCAGAGAGCTCTGTTAAAATGAACGTCAGGTCATGTCACCACTCAGGGCTCCCCACGTCAGGCAGAGCGACAATGCCCACATCATCACCATGCTGTACAAGGCCCCTGTGACCAGCTGTCCCGTTCTGACTACACCTCCTTTAGTGCTCCCCCACCAGCCCTGTCCACTCTGCTCCAGCCATGCTGTTCTCCTTGATTCCTTGAACTTGCCAGGTGCGATCCCACCCGAGCACCTGTGCACTTGCTGCTGTCTGCCTGGCATGCCCCCCTCCCAGGTGTCCATATAGTTTTCTCCCTTTAGTCTTTACTGAAAAGTTGCCTCCCCGTGAGGCCTTCGATAAATATTTAATAAGCGAGTGAGTGAACAGATAAACTGAGGGCTTTACCTTGAACCCTCGCTGGTGGGCCAGGAGCCCACAATTTATCTGGTTCCTGTTAGTTCTTTCCCTGGGGCTAGATCCTGAGCCCTCTGCCTGCCACATCTCACACCTCCGGGGGGCACTGCTCACATCATGGTCTGTGACTGGCAGGCTCAATTCTGCAGGCCAGCCCTCTCCATGAGAACAGGGACCTGCATAGCTTGTGCAGCACTATATGCATATTTGGCTCCTTATGGGGTACGGGGCACATAGCAGGGGGCTCGGTATGTATCTCCTAAATGAATGAGTGAAGCAAACACTGCCTCACCTTCACCCTGAACCAGCATTCTCCCTCTCAGATATCTGGACCTGTGCCTTGAGCCTGCCTCTGGACAGGTGTCACCCCTCTCTGCACCCCCACCCCAGCTTTCTCCTCCTGGGCCCACTCCCACCCATTCCTTGCTGAGCTCCCAGCACCCCCTATGCTGCACACACCCAGACAATTTCAAAACATGGGGTCCCCCATGAATGATGCGTAAACACAGCTTCCCCATGCAGAATCACTGAGCTGTCCCCATCCCTCTCTCCTCAAACTCCACACAGAGGTGGGCACTGTGTCACATGAAGCCTTCTCATGAGTAAGGTCCAAATGGCCCTTGAGGAACTCAAAACAAAGCATGGGAGCCCTACCTGAGCTACTGAAAAGCTTCCATTCAGCTCACCCATTCCTGAAAATAAGCTACAACAGCCAAATCTGCCTCTGGGTGATTTCTGGGTCAGAAACACCTTTCATCAAACACATAAAGAGACAGGAAGGGATCTCAAGCACCTGACGGTGCCTAGGAGTAGCCATAACACATTTTAGAACTAGCTCTTTTGGAACCACATGCCAACTGATTATTAATAAACTGCAAACATAAGCTGAGGGTAGAATAATTGGAGCTGAATGATATCAATTTTGCACGTTAACCAAGATATATGAGGTCCAACCAGAAGCCAATTTAACAATTACTTATTGTTGAATAACTACTATGTGCTGACACTTTGGTGCACTGGGGTTTGTAAGACTTGTGAGAGGCCCCACCTCGAGAGGTTTGTAATCTAAAGGGGAAAAGGGAAGAAAAACATGCCCTTTCATTCAAGAGTTTTTTTTAAAAATGCAGCGTGCTAGGAAAGTCAGAAGTAAAATAGCTGTTTCTAACAATAGGGAGGCAGAGAAGAGGGAGATAACAGGCGTCCGGAGATTCTTGAAGGAGTTGGAAACTAGAGATTTGCAAAGAGAAGAAATGGGAGGAAGGAACACGTTCCATGTGGAAGGGGAGAAGGCTGAGCAGACAGTGGCTGTACGACATGTCTTCAGGCCTTAACACTTGCCTCAATATACTGTTCATGATAAACTGCAACCCCATTCAAAGAAAAGGAAGATGGTCAGAGACAGACCTCAGTGACCGCTCCCTATGGTAAAGTGGATGCAGAGCGGAGTGCAGCTTCTGAGGCCAGGAGAGCTGGTGTTTGTATTCACACTGTTCTAACGGCAGTGGTCAGGTTTGGATGAGAAGTGAAGCTGACAAAACCTCAAGGCACTGTAGGACCGTTCTTTCTGTTATTTGAGGCATCCCACAGAAGGGAGAGAATTCTTAAGTGTGATGTGTTCACAAATGGAAAAGTGTGGATTTGGCACGGATGTTGGTATTTGACTTGAGCTGGGGCCTTATCTGACATGGGTTCTATGCTGGCAGCCTGGGGGTAGCAGGAATACCCTGGGGAAGCCAGCAACCATAAGGTTTCCAGCCTTATGGTTCCAAGGGAAGAATTATGGGATCATAAATGTCAGAGCCCCTAGGGCCTTGTTGGTAAATGGTTGGTTTGATTTTAAGTGATCCAGATAGTGGAAGAAGTTCTCATCAGTTTCCTTAGACTTATAGATGTTTTTGAATTCTGGTGATTCAAATATCCCACCACCACCCCCACCAAAAAAAAGAAATAAAGAAGAGAAAAAGAAAGGAAGAAAAAAGGAGTAATTACTGAGAAACAGAAACAAGCTATTCCTGGACTCGTGGAGTTATTCAGGTTCTAAGGAAGTACAAATAAAGTCCTAAAAGAGAGTTTAGTTAAAATACTAAAAATAAACAGTGACTGTATTTAATTTTTTAAAAGTTTGTAAGGGAACCAATAAAATAAAAATATACCCGGGGCCCAAATTATCTCTTATAAACAAGGACTGCTTAAAAATGCTTCCAGTTCTCTGGGTCAAGGAGTGGAAAGGGACCCCTCCCTGGTGCTCCCCTGCTCCCATCCTCTAGGCTCAGTCATTGAGTCAATCAACAAACTTCTATGAAGTGCCACAACATGAAGGCACTGAGAGCTGGACACTCCGAGAGTCAAGTAAGAAAACACTTGTGTTTCAACTGCTGTTCCCACACAGAGAAAGAAAGAGAGTGAAAAGTGCTGAGCTCCAAAAGACATACTCTGTAAAAAATGTTGAAAAGGAAGACAAACCCTTTAAAAGGGTGACCTTGGGCGTGCCCTTCCCAATCGAGTTAAATGTCACTGCTCTGAGAACTTGTACTTTCTGATTTCCTGATTTTGCAGAATCCAAAGCTAGCATAACGAATTCAAACCGTCCAGCTTCCTTCCTTTCTCCATTTCCCTAAAAACAAAAACAAAAGCCACAGATTTAATATTTCCATTAAAATATAACTTAACAAAAAGCATCACACACTTGAACTGTTACCACGGTTTAGGGAAAGAAATACATCTCTCTTTTTTTTGCTGCAAGATTATTTTTTTCAAATTTCAGCAGGCACTAAATTCTGCCTCTGCATAACTTAGTCCGTAAGCATAAGCACTGTTTCAGAGAAGTGATGGTTTTAATTGTCTGTGTGTTGCTCAGTTATCTCCCTCACCTCTAACGTGGGGAAATTCCCATTTCAGCCCTTTTATTCTTCGGTTTTATCATCCATACCTTCTGGGACCATAGCCTAAGGTTTATAACAGCCGAAATCTCCACAGCAGTCTCCAGGCTTCCTCTTGTTTGTATTCACAACAAGCCCTGGGAGGGAAGGAGGTGTGGGGACATAATCATTTCCATTGTGCAGAGGAGGAAAGGGAGACTCCGCGCCCCTCCGTGCAATATGGTGGCCACTTGCCACATGTGGCTACAGAGCACTTGAAAAGATGTGCTATACATGTACAATACAAGGGCACTTCAAAAAGTTCATGGAAAAATAGAAGGAAAAGATGATACAAAGCTTTCCGCAAACTTTTTGAAGTGCCCTTGTACATACTGAACACTCAGTACGAAAAAAGAACATAAAACGTCTCAGCAATAATTTTTTATATTGTTTACATGTTGAAATGATAATATTGTTGATAAACTGGGTTAAATAAAATGTATTGTTAAAATCAGTTTACTTGTTTCCTTTTCATTCTTTTTTTAATGTGGCTACTAGAAAATTTTAAATTACTGTTGTGGCTCATGTTTTATTTTTATTTAACAGTGCCACCCTAGAGGGATCAGTGCAAAGTCATCAAGCGGGCTAGGGACAGACCTGGGCCAAACCCACTGCTCCTACTTCATTGGGGGGGGGGGGCGCAGCACTTCCCAAGGCATGAGGAATAAAGGAGAGCTTGGCACACAAATGAGAAATGGTCTGCGCTGTGCCCAGGGTGATGCCGCCTGTCCGTCTGTGTCCATGGCAGGGCAGACAGGGCTGTGGAGGGCGGGGGCAACTCTTACAGCAGCAGAGGGGAAGGGGTAAGGGACCACGGGGAGGGCCCCCAACTGTCTGCCTGAGGGGGAGCCTCCTGAGGGTCTGCAGGAGGAAGCTCAGCCTGGCAGGCTGGTCGCTGGGAAAGTGGGTTGTACACACCTCCCATATAGGGACCCCATGTATCCAACCCCTATCCCCTCTGTCTCTTTTCTACACAGTGTCAGAGATTTTAAAATTTCTATCAGATAAAGTCATCCCCTCCCCACCCCTGCTTAAAATCCTCCAGTAGATTCCTCCCTGTGCATCCAACCCAAGTAGCCCCTTGACTACACCACACGGTCCTGAGTCAATTCTCTGCACAGCATTATGGCCTGGGGTTGCTTCTTCTGTTCACTGTCTCCCACATGTAGAATGTGATGTTCATGAGGGCACACACTTTGCCTTCTGGTTTTCTGCCCCATCCTCAAGATCCCAGGACAGTGACTGGCTGGCAGAAGGTGATCCATAAACAAGCATTGAATGAAGAATGAATGGAGGAATCCAGAGGAGTGGCCTTGGTAGTGCAGATGACTGAGTTCCTACTACGTGTGCGATGTGTTTGGTAAGATGCTGTGTTCAATCCCCACCCTAAGAGTGGCTGTCATTACGTCTCTGTTTTCCCTTTTTGCTTGAGCCCTTCCCCCCTACACCTGGAAAACAGGCTTCCCTGCCCCAGCTAAAGCTCCTAAGCCCTCCTCCTGCTGCTCTGACTTCGTGTCTCCTCCTCCCCTTCCTCCGACGCCCCTCCTAGGACAAAGGGGAGGAGGACTGTGGTTGTTTGTGTGTTCGCCTTTCTTCCTCACAGGCTTATGGACTCCTTGTGAAAAAAGCCCATGTTATACACACTGAATCTCCACCCCCATCGCCCGTGCCCACTGTGCCAGAACTGATCTGGGTATACAGCAGGAAGCTAATAATTGTTTGCTGCTTGAATTGAGCCAAGCAAGGCGAGCCTTTCCTCCATCTCCCACCTGGAATGCTGCACCTGCCCTGGCCTGCCCGCCTGTTTCACCTTCCTCTCCATCAAGGCATCCCAGGCTGTTCACACTTTTCATCATCTGGCATCACCCAGCTTTTGTGTGTCCTCTGTATGTGAGAAGCCTGGGGGCCTGTGCACCCCCCATGCCTCCTGCTCTTACCCTGCCCGCCCCACTCTGCCTGACTGGGCAGCCCCCCAGCACCCCTCCCCCACCTTCCCCCCGGACTGTTTACACAGCTGCAGAAGGAAGGGATGCTCGCTTCTTCTCTCCCCCACGCCTGGGTTCATATATGCGTATTTCCGGCTCCCCAGAACTCGGGCAGTGGGAATGCTACCCCCAACCCAATCTCCTGTAAATTGGCATAGGCTGATCACGGCACTTTCTGGGGGGTGGAAAAGAGTGTTGAACCATTTACAGCGAATGATCCTGTGGATGCCTGAGCAGGCTGCACGATGGCTTCCCACAGACCAAGAAAAGGAGCAGCTGTTCCACACCATGTGCGCCTGGTAAAGTAAGTGGCAGACTGAGAGGTGCATGCTGCAGACCTCACAGTCACCAGGGTTGTAACCGGGGACCACAATTATATTGGGGATCCTTGATTTGAGTACCCTGGAATCCAAAGCTTGGCTGACTGTTATGGGCAAGTTGCTGGAAATTAAAAAACAAACAAAAAAACCACTTAGACAAAGTGCTCAGGAGTTCTAACAAACATCTCAGAACTATAACTAAAAGCCTTGACAGTATTTGGGGCCTCTGCAGTCCTGAGAGGTGCCCTAAATGATCACCTCCTGGACCATACTCCAAGGCAGACAGGAAAACCAAGCCAGACAGGTCTAGAAAACACCTCTCCTTAGCCTACAGCGATAGTTGCCGTTCCTCAGACTAATGCAGAGGATCTGAGATCAGAGCACTAACAAACGAACGAATGTAAGACCATGACCTGAGGTCTGAAGAATACAATATTGGATAAGCTGATGCTATGACCACCCTCCCCTCACGGTGGTTGACAGGGTTAGAGAATAAAGCATTTGGAAATCTCAGTCCCTACAAATGTCCCTGTAGTCTCTCCTCCCCGCCCTGTCCCCCTCACTCTTCAATTCCTACAAAACCATGGGACTTCTGAGGCTGCCGTCTCCAAAAGTGGAATTGATACTTTGCATTCTGACTAACTCTCTCCAAGGGGCTCAGACTGGGGCCCTTTTTACCTCTTATATTGCCCCCAATCCCACCCCGGTACAGCCCCCAGAGCATGACACATCGTCTGAGGGGCAGATGCATACAACCAATCTGCTGCCAAGTATCTCTTTCCTTTTCCACTTATGGAATGAAAACTTTTCCTTTTCAAGAGCTTACCTCATTTGTCTTATGGGGTTACCCACCAGAAACCAGACAAATCCCGTACACACCTGTCACCTTTCTTTTGAAACACTTACACTCTGGAGCTTCAGGGACACACCAGGCAGTTTATACAATCCCATCCAGAGGCCTCCAGCTGCATATCTAGAAGAGGAGCCCCCAGGGGTCTGACCCAGGCCAGAAACCCTTCTGCAGAGAAACCTGAGCAGAACAGACGTAATTCTGCCCGTGATGTCTTCCGGGGTCAAAGTTGACCATGGTGACCCAAGTCAGCTCAAAGCACAGGATGAAATCTGGAAAAATCTGCTTGTATGCAGACTGCCCCCAGGTCTGAAATACTCACAGATAGACAGGCCTTAGCCAATAACTCATTTCAAGGTTGTTAAAGCCATTTTGGCCTGACCTTTGAGTTTGTTGGGTAGCCAAGTTTTTGCTTCTGTCATTGCTGATAAAGTGCATGTTTTACCCTTGGCCTTGAGATCCTAATGCCTTGGTCAGTGGAGAGCCTCACAGGTGTAACTCTTGGCCGCCTCTTTCCGGTTGAGTTTCATGAGGGTTCTGAGTTGCAGGTAGAGTAGGAGCTCCACTGTACAGGTTAGGAAGTGTGCCAAGTGTGCCCAGAGTCACACTGCAAGGGAGCCCAGCCCTGAAGCCAGAGACTTAGGCTCCCAGTACAGGGCTTCCCCTTTTCCACGCCACCCTTAGGAACTGCACACCTGGGCAGCCCCAGAGGGTGATGAGAAACCAACCTGGCCCACTTGCCTGAGTTCTGCGTTGCAGAAGGAAAAGGCTTGGGGGAGACAGGTAGGGACAGGCAGAATCTATAATTAGACTCAAATCCAAGTACTTTGGATTAATATTGGTGTGTTATTTCTACTTAGTATGGACCCAGGCCTAAACGAAGGGAAAATGAAAACAAGTTTGACAGCCATTTCCTTGCTTTCTTTCTCCACCCGAGAGGAACCAGTGGTTAACAGTATGGTGGCAACAAGTGGGTCAAAGGTCAGCCCTTCAGCCAGGGCTGGTTTCTATGGAAACGGGGCCTATTCATCCAGCACACAGAGCCTCTTCACAGCCACTTACACACAATTGAGCTATTACTGGGAGCCCAGGAGAGCCTTGTCTGGAGCACAGTGTACTAGACAGGCCAGGGTTTAATGGAGCTGATTAAATGGTAGTCAGGGAATTACCCAGAGCAGGACTTGGGAATACCCTTCAGAAACAAGTTAAATCCCCAAACCTCATCCCATTCCCAACACCCCTCCCTTGTATGGAGTCTCCACAATCTGAGTCTCCCCTTTGCCTACAATGATGTCTTTATGTCTTTACACTAATGCTTACCTCACCTTTCTTTCTACATGTCCAAAGTTGAGAGGACAAAGCCCTGTACTGAGACCCCTGGACCTCTGCCACCATTAGCATCTTCATCAAGTGCTCAGCATCCCAGTGCTTTTGTGATTTGAAAATCACAAAACAACC